TGAGCTGTGGTGCTGGAGAAGAGTATTGAGAGTACCATGGACTGCTAGGAAAACAAACAGATTTGTCCTGGAGAGGGTTAAACCGGGTGGCTCCTTGGAGGCAAGGATTCTGAGGCTTCGTCTAACATACTTTGGACATGTTGTGAGGAGAGACCGGTCCTTGGAGAGGGACATCATGCTTGGTAGAGTGGAGGGACAGCGCAGGAGAGGAAGGCCCTCTATGAGGTGAATTGATTCAGTGACTGGGGTAATTGGGATGGGAGTGTCAGAGACAGTGCAACTGGCACAGGACAGAGCAGAGTTTAGGGCTGTTGTACACAGGGTCACTATGAGTCGCAAGCGACCCAACGGCACATAACAACAACAATAACAACAACAACAACATCAGTCTCTGGATAGCAGTTAGTGGATTTAAACCAAGAGCAACGCGACTTCTCACCAGCAGGCCACCAGAGGTCCTGAAATTAAGATCAAGGGTAAATTTGCATAAATAATGGATGGGGAAGAATTTGTAAATATTAATATGTTAGAGAAGAATCAGGAAAAAGGCAGCAGGCAAATGAAGAAAACCTAAGAATTATGTAGGTCAAGTGGAATATCCCTCATGTATATAGATGCAAAAATTCTCATCCTAGCTGATCAAATTCAACATCATATTAAGAAGATCACTCATCATGATCAAGTAAGATTCATCTCAAGTACGCAAGAATGGTTCAGCATTAGGAAAACAGTAAGTGTAATCCACTGTGCCAAAAAAACAAATGAAAATAAACATGTGATCATCTCAATTGATGGATAAAAGGCATTTGATGAAATTCAATAGCTGTTCCTGATGAAAACTCTCAACAAAATAGGAACAGAAGGGCAATTTCTAAACATAAGGGCCAGATTTACTCTTAATGGAGTAACACTGAAGGCATTCCTCCTGCAAATGGAAACCAAATAGAGAATTAAAGGTTGCTCTTTATTATCAACATTGAATAGAGTCGGGATTCCCATAAGACTCCACCCCCCTTAATTGTGCTCATGTGAAACTTGATGATCCACAGATCAAGAAGCAGCTGTCCGAACAGAACAAGAGAACTCTGCATGGTTTAAAATTAGGAAAGGTGTAAGTCAGGGTTGTATCTTTTTCTCTACCTATTCAATCTGTATGCCAAGCAAATGATTCGAGAAGTTAGACTATATGAAGAAGAATGTAGGATCAGTATTGGAGGAAGACTCATCCACTACACACATAATGCAGATGATACAACTCTGCTTGCAGAAGGTGAAGACTTAAAAGCACTTACTGCAGAAGAACAAAGAGTACAGCCTTCCATGTGGATTGCAATTCAACATCAAGAAAACTGAAATCCTCACCACTGCATCATTAGGCAACACAGTGATAAATGGAGGTAAGACTGAAGTTGTCAATGACTTTTATGGATATTTTCACTTGTATCCCAGAATCAACATTCATGGTAGAAGCATTCAAAGAGTTATCAAAAGATGTATTGCACTGGGGAAATTTGCCAAGAACCTTTTAAAGTGCTAAAGAGCAAGGATGGCTAGTGTAAACCCTAAGGTGCGTTTGACATAAGCCATATGGTTTTTTCAGTTGCTTCCTATGCAAGTGAAAGACGATGAATAGAGAAGAGTTAAGAATCAAGATAAGAGTCCAGAATAAGATATGCACAGTAAAGTGGACTGGGAGGGTGGTGGTGTCTGTATAATACTGAAAGAATGTTTTTTCCCCAAAGAAAAAAGCAAACTGGGAGAAGGGGGAGGCAGGGAGAAAAATGTGCAACAGTGAATGAATGGAAATCCAAGTTCTCTGTAAACTTCCATTGAAATCTCAATTTTAAAAAAACCCCAAAACTCCAAAACAAAACAAAAGAATCCATGCCTACTGAATGTCCCATAGACTAAGTAAAGGACAGTGAACTTCACCTCATATACTTTGTACACGTTGTCAGGTGGGGCTAGTTCCTTGGAAAAGACATCATGCTGGGAAAGGTAGAGGGTCAGTGAAAGGGAAGACAACTCTCAATAAAATGGATTGACACAGTGACTACAACAATGTGCTTGAGCATGGTGGAGACTGAGAGAATGGTGCAGGATAGGGCAAATTCCAGATCTGATATCCAAGGAATTGCTATGAGCTGTAATTGCCTTCATGGCACCAATCAAAACAATTCAATAGTATTGGAAGTAGTACTAGCCAGAGTAATAGGTAAAAAAAGGAAGTAAGAGGCATTCAAACTGACAAAAGATGTATATCTATCACTATTTGTATATATCACTATATAAAGAAAATCCTAAAGACTTTTAAAGAAAATTACTGGACTTAGGCGAGCTCTGGTGGCCTAGTGGCAGGAAACTGCACTGCAATCCCAGAGGTGCGCGATTCAAATCCACCAGATGCTCTGCTGAAGAAGGAGGAACAATCGCCTCCTGTACCAATCAGATCCAATTTGACGGTACACACACCCCCCCCAAAAAAAATTATAAGAAAAATTATAAAATTATAAAAGAAAATTACTGGACTTATTTTCCCAATTGAGTAAAGTAGCAGGGTACAAGAATAACACCTAAAAGTTAGTTGGATTATCTACAAGGACAAGAACTCTGAGAAGGAAATATGGGAAACAATGCCACCATAATATGAAACATTTAGTAATAAATCTAACCAGAGCTACAAAAGATCTCTACAGAGAAAATGATAAAACACTACTACAAGGAACTCAAACAGACCTACTTAAATGGGAAAATATACCAGTGAAAATGACGCAATTACCAAAGCAATCTATGAATACAATGTGATTTCTATCTAGATCTCATATTTTTAATATACTATCAACACTTTTTAAAGATATGGAAAAATCAGTTACCAACTTCATCTGGAATGGGAAAAAAACCCCATTTTCTTCTTAAGAAGAAAATCCAAGGTGAAAAACAAGAAGAAAAATCCCATACTTTCTGGTTCTAAACCTACTACTCAGCCATGGGAACCCAAACAGTGTGGGGCACCGTTACAATGACTGGTAAGCTGACCAATGGACATAAATCCACGTGCCTATTGACAACTAATCTTTGACAGAGATTAAGTGCATTAATTAGGGAAAAAATAGTCTGTGTAAAAAATGATGCTGGGAAAATTGGCTATACATCTTCAGAAAATGGAAACCCACACTTGACATCATATACAAGACCTAATTTGAGATGGATCAAAGGCCTCAAAGTAAACGCTAAAGCTATAAATGTCCTGAAAGAAAAAACTGAGGTAAACTTAGGAGCCTGTAGCTATGGCTTAAAGAGAAAACTGAATATAACCAATACACATTCAACAGGATAAATTAGATGATGAAGACCTTCTAAAAATTACATCTTTATGTAATTAAAAAGAATTCTCCAGAAGAGTAAAGAGAGAACCTATAGTTTGGGGGGGGGGGATTGGCAATGGCATATACGACAAGGAAATAATCCCTAAAATTAAGAGAATTCTAACATCTCAACAATAAAAGGACAAAGTTCCCAATTATAAAATGAGCAGAGGACATTAAAAGACATTTTATCAGAGAAGACATTCAGATGGCCAACAACCACATGAAGAACTGCTCAAGATCATTAGCTATCTGAGAGAGGCAAATAAAAAAACAATGAGATGTCACCTCACTCCAGCAAAAATAGCAATCTTCAATAAGTCATTAAAAAACAAATTCTGGGGAGGGTATGGAGAGATTGGAAATCTCATTCATTGCGGATGAGAATGTAAAAAGTGCAACCACTTGTGAAAGTAGTTTGGGACTTACTTAGAAATTTGGGAATAGGAATACCTTTGATCCAGCAATCTGACTATTAGGTATATATCCTAAATAAGAGCTGTGACATAAAAAGGTCCACACTCATGATTACTGCTGTTTTATTTATAATAGTAAAGAGCTGGAAACAGCCCAAGCGCCTGCCATCAGTGAGTGAATAGCTAAAGAAATTGTAGAACTACAAAATGATCAAGAATGAATGAGATACTGCACACCATGGATGAAGTTAGAACAAATTATACTGAATGGCATTAAGTCAGTAAAAAAAGGCAATTATGTGATAAGATCACCAAAAAAAGCAAGAAATGGCTTACACACAGAAATAATCACCTGTGGAGGGTTAACAGAGATGAGAATTGAGGGGGAAGAGTAACAAAAAAAGAAAGAAAAATTCAGTCACACCCGCCCATTTCAAGTACTTAGTAGGCACATGATGGTTACCATGATCTTGGATAATATAGCACACGTTCATCATCCTAAAATGTCATGGGACAGAAATGCCTCAAATTATCAAGTTTTGGTTTTCATAATATGAACATTTCAAATATCTGTTTTTGATTCTGCTTTGCACAATTTTGGTGGAAATGTGTGGTAAAATTTGAAATTGTACAAATTTTTGTTCGTTTTTTTTTTTTTAAAACAAGACAAAGGTGAGTTCAATGTTCCATGCTGATATGGAAATGTTAAAAATTATAATGGTTGTCTAGCCTTACTTTTGAGCATTCTTTAGATAATGTGAATGTAGTTTATTTGAAAATAATCAATAACCTTGAATTTTTTAACCAATTAAGATAACCCACGCAGTCCTTAGCCAGTTAGCTGGAGACCTACTTGTTCTTTTCTTTTCAAGCAACTTCATCCAGCTACTCAACCTCTAGCCAAGAGATTAATTCACATGCTCTTTGGATATGGGTTTTATTATTATTATTATAAATTTTAATGAAAATTTACAGAGACTTTGGATTTACATTCATTCATTGTTGCAATTTTTTTCCCTGGGTTATGTTTTTTTTAATTAGATCATTAGAAAACACTATCCACTTTGTTCCCCAGGAAAGTAAAATTTGCGGTGATGCTAGAGAGCTCTATAAAATTTATAAAATCTATAAAACTTAGATCTGTAAAATGTTCAAATTCCTCATTTCGCTTTAACACATTATTGGTTACAGCAATACAGCACAACAATCATTCAAGTACTTATTTATTTATTTATTTTTACTAAGGCACATGACGTATAGAAATACTGAGGTACAAAATACACATTTCTGCATAAGATTGTAAAAATATTCATTTTGGAACATGAGAGTGAACATCATCTTCCAGAATATTCAACTTTTAGCTTGTTTTTTCTTTTGGACCAGTTCAACCAGCAACTTGTATCTAGCAATACAGTCTTCCTGTAGTAAGAAGAAAAAGAAAAAAAGTGAAAACAGTGATTCTAACAAGTCAGTATGAGTTTCTACCTGGGATTCTTCTTGCTGCAAGTCCTCTCTGGTTTCAAGCTTACAATGCCCATCCACCTTGCACATGAGCTGTCCCAGAGCCTGTCTGGCGTTTTCCAGGTAAGCCCAGCAGATGTGGCTAGACTCAACCACACAGGACTATTTATCCCCACTGAGGACATTCGAGCTCAGGCTGCAGGAGCTCCCACGGGGCAAGGGAGCCAGGGGCAGCTGTCTGTGAGGTACATCAATTATGATTATGAATATAATATCACTCATTATAGTCTTCAAATAGAAATGACAACTGTCATTTCAGAGGAACAACAATTCTTGTTCATTTCATTCTCATTTTGGATTGAGAAATCTGTTCTTGGAAAAGGACATCATGCTTGGAAAGGTGGAGGGTCAGTGAAGGAAAGGAAGACTCTCAACAAGACTGATTGACACAATGACTGCAGCAATGGGCTCAAGTGTGTCAGAGATGATGAGGCTGACACAGGATGTTTATGGGGTCACTATGAGTCATAGTCATCTGAGCAGCACCTAACAACAACATCAACAATGCACTGAGACCTTCCTATGGTGCCAGGTCAGCTCAGCCTCAACTGGACACCAGCATAGAGTGCGAGGGGACTCTGCGTGTACAGCCTCCACCTTCAGATCAAACCATGGGCTCTTTCCCATCTTGTGAGAACATCAGATACTGGCTGCCACTAGTTATCACTCCTTGAGGACTCATGGTTATAAATAGATGGGATAATGGTAGGGAGGAGCTTTGGTCTTACTATAATACTCTGATTTATCCCATGACTGATACTGTCCAAAAATCTATTCTATTCCCATGAAACAGAAATACTGTGAATGAACTTTAAGATCTAGTGCAAAATGATTTCCGTTCAGACAGGGAATATTCTCTTTCCAGGATTTTAGCTTAGCTCGGCTCCACGGTCAACACTCTTGGCACCAGCAGCCAGGAAATAAAAAAATGAATTGTGATGGGAAAGTCTGCTGTTAGGGACCTCTCTAAAGTACTCAAGAGCAACAGTGTCTCTCTGGAGACTAAGGTG